CCACACTCAAGGGGCCAAAGACCCGCGTGTGGCTCGTGAGCCGCAGTTTGCCGACCACTGCCCTAGCTGGTTTTGCTCAGTGGATAGAGCGTCACCCTGTGGACTGAAGGGTCCCGGGTTCGATTCCAGTCAAGGGCACATGCCTGGTTTTCGGGCTCGATCCCCAGTAGGGGGTATGCAGGAGGCAGCTGGTCAATGATTCTCTCATCATTGATGTTTCTATCTCTCTATCCCTCTCCCTTCCTCTCTGAAATCAATAAAAATATATTTAAGAAAAAATAAAGTAAAATAAATAGATCATTGTCATAGATTATAAGTCATTCCGCAACTTGCTTTTTTCACTCAATTTTATGATGTGTTTATGTTATTTCATAGTTCTAAGCTCATTCATTTAAACTATAGTGTCCATTTTATAGTGGTTTGACTTTTTCACACTTACTAACAATGATATATGTGTGTTCATATGTACATGTACAAGAATTTCTCTAAGATATGCACCTAGATATGGAATTGCTGGAGTAAAAGTAGACAGCTTTTTTTTTTTTACTAGATACTACAAAGTGGCCGTACCAATTTGCACTTCCACAAGCAGTGGGTGAGAGGTCCTGTTTCCACTCATCCTCACCATCACTTAATATTATAAGACTTTTTAATCCTTACCAACCTGCTAGGTGAGAAATTGTATCTTGTTATTGTTTTTATTTCCCTGACAATTAGTGGGGTGCTGCTTCTTATAATGAAGCCAATATGTTTTTTAAACTTAATTTCTGGGGATGTTCAAAGTCATCATTTTAAGCAATTTCATTTCTTTTAAGTTACAACAGAAGCAAAGTAATACATTACAGTTTGATATTTACCAAGTACTTCTGCAAATTTACACCCCACAGGCAAGCCAGAGTTGACAGTTATGTGGATAAACAAGGGAAATGCTTAAAGTGAAATGGGAAGGACTTAAGTTAGCTATAAATATGAGAGTTGGGCATCTTTTCCCTATAGCTAACTAGAATTATCCTATATAATAAAAGCCTAATATAAGTGTCCAGTCGTCCAGTTGGCCATTCACCCAATCAAAGCATAATATGCTAATGATATGCTAAAGCTGCTCAACTGCTTGCTATGGCATGCACTGACCACCAGGGGGCAGACGCTCCAACCAGTAGGTTAGCTTGCTGCTGGGGTCCAGCCGATCAGGACTGAGCAAGACAGGCCAGACATGCCCTGGAGCCTTCCCGGCTGGCCAACCTCCCACGTACCTCCCCAGCCTGATCGTGCACTGGTGGAGTCCCTCAGCCTGGCCTGCACCCTCTCGCAATCTGGGACCCCTCGGGGATGTCAGAGAGCCGGTTTCGGCCCAATGGCAGAACAACTGGTTGCTATGACATGCACTGACCACCGGGGGGAAGACGCTCAACACAGGAGCTGCCCCCTGGTGGTCTGTGCACTCCCACAGGGAGAGTGCTTCCCAGCCAGAACCGAGCTCAACAGTGGTGGCGGGAGCCTCTGCCGCCTCTGCAGCAGTGCTAAGGATGTCCAACTGCTGGCTTAGGCCTGCTCCCTGTCAGTCGGAAATCCCCCGAGGGCTCCCAGATTGCGAGAGGGCACAGGACAGGCTGAGGGACCCTCCCCTCCCCCAAGTGCACAAATTTCATGCACCAGGCCTCTAGTATAAATATAGTAGAGTTGAATGTGTTAGTCATTAATCCTAATTCATTAGTATGGTAGTTTTCACTTTGTAAAGCATTTCCAAATGCTGGAAGATGTGAGAGTAATGTAGAACACTCTAAGCACAATCTATAGCTGATTCCCTTGTCCTTCATCCTCTGTTTCCTCCCAGGTTTGTCGTACTCTTCATGGATGACCTGGGCCATATATCCCAGTGGAGTGCCATCATGGCTGGAAGTCTCGCAGGCATGGTTTCCACCATTGTAACGTATCCTACAGACCTCATCAAAACGCGCTTGATTGTGCAGAATATGCTGGAACCATCTTATAGGGGGATCCTCCATGCTTTTTCTACTGTTTATCAACAGGAAGGATTCCTGGCCCTTTATCGAGGAGTTTCCCTTACAGTTTTAGGTAAGATGGAAATTTTTTCCTTGTCCAAGGAAAGGCTGCATTCTTTGACATATGTGAATAATTGTATGCCTTTGTAACCAGTTAATACATTTTATTGAGGTCAAGGTCATATGGATAAGTCCATATAGGGCCACTTAACTTCATTCTATTCCACAGCTGTATACCCCACTCCTAACTTTGACCTTTTGCATCCTAGAGGGGGGTGGATGACAGTGCATGGAGGTGCCTCTGAACAAACTGATAGGAAGACAATCCCACACACTCCTCATCCAACTGTGGGAAGGAGTCTCAGTGTGCGTACATGCAAATATGAGCACAACTAGGGTAGCAGTTGTAGCTTCTGTGGTCTTTGGAGCCTGTGCCAGGACTACACACACACAGGTCACCGGGACCCCCAGTGGCCAATACAGCAGACTTTTGCTCTTTGTCTGACCTTTGTTGCAACATTTGATGAGATTGATTACACCTCCTTCTGGAAACGGCTTCTAGGACCCCACTGTTTCCTGGATGTCTTTCTTATGTCTCTGGCAGCTTTCTTGTCTGACTCATCTGGCTCATCTGACACTGCTAGCCCCCTACATATCGCTATTCCCCCAGCTCCTTCCTTAACATTTCCTTCACCCTCCATACCCTCCCTAGGTGGCCTCATCTAAGCTAGTAGCTTGAACAAGTATCATTATACTCTAATGACCCCTAATATAATCTCTATAGTAACATTTATTGGTGCTTACTATGTGCCAGGCAGTGAGTTAAATGCTTTACATACAGATTCTCATTTAAGCCTCATTTTACAGATGAGGAAATAGATGCTTAGGGAAGCTAAGTTACCTGCCATGGTCACATGGATAGAAAGTGAAGGAATTTAGCAATATAACCCAGAGCCCTCTCTCTTAACCATTGGCTGCTACCAATTCCCAGTGGCAGTATGAATACCTGCTATTGGACACCCTCACCTGATGCTCCCTTGGCACATCAAACTCGTTAGTCTCACACCTGCTCTCCTCCTGTGTTCCCTAATGAATAAGACCTTTCCTTCACCCAGTGGCCTGAGACAGAAGAAACCTAGACTCACTTCAACTCTACCTCTCACTCCACTCTTGCTTTAGTCACCAAGTACTTTTGAAATGACCTCTTTGAACTCTCAAGTCTATCCCCCTTCTCCATCTCCATCTCCTCTGCCCTAGGTCGCACTCTCATCACTATATTTCCCATAGACACAAGAAGCACCTCTTATCTGCTCCCAGTCTTGGTTCTCTCCCACCCCGGTTTGCCCTGTGCACTGTAGCCAGGGTGTGGTGATCTCTCTAAATGCAAAATGATCATTTCACCACCCTCACTCCACTGCCCTCCTCAAAAGTCTTCACTGCCTCCTGAACTACAGAGGAAGACCCCAATTCTTTATAGCCTACCAGATCCTTCAGAACAGCTCATCTAACCTCCTCTCCTGTCACACCTCCACTTGCACTGATGCTCCAGCCATACAGAAATACTTGCATTTCCTGGAAACATTTCTCCCTTTGTACATGCTGTTCCCTCTGCCTAGACTTCCTGTCTACTCTATGTCTGATGAACTCCTATTCATTCCTCAAGACCCAGTTGAGAAATTCTCTCTTCTGTGAAATCCTTCTTGATTCCCCCAGGCAAAATTAACTCCTCTCCTTCTGTACCTAACGCACTTTGTATAGCCCTCCCAGCTCCAGCCCTGCCCTTATGACACCTATGAGCTGTCTCACCACTAGATGGTGAGCTCCTCCAGGAATTAGCCTACTTACTCTTCTTTGTATTCCTGCACCTGGCCTAGGTCCCAGCACACCCGTTTCACACATGTTTTCTGAATGAAGGTAAATGGGGGGTTGGTACATCTTTTTGAAATTTTTTAAAAAATCCTCACTCGAGTATATATTTATTGATTTTTAGAGAGGGAGAGAGAGAAAGAGAGAGACATCAATATGAGAGAGAAAGAGAGAGACATCAATATGAGAGAGAAACATCGATTGGTTGCCTCCAGTACATGCCCTGACTGGGGATTGAACCCACAACCTAGGTATGTGCCCTAACTGGGAATCAAACCAGTGATCTTTGGTGTACGGATGATGCTCCAGCCAACTGAGCTACCCAGCCAAGGCTGGTACATCATTTTAAATGTGTTTATTAAATATAAGTATTATATTTTTTAAGGACAAGCAACCCCACTGTGTTATCCCCTCTTTTAAATCCCTTTTTGAGCGAGAAATTTAGTCACTCTGTAAAATTAAGATGGTTCCCAAAGTTTCTGGAAGCTTGTGAAATTGCCATCTACTGTACTCCTTGCTCACCATATTTTCCTAGGAAGGTGAGGATGCCATACAGTGCAGGGTGCCCACTGACCCCTGACATGGCCACATCATCTCCAAAGGCAAAGTCAAGTAACCTCCTTCTTTCCAGTTTCCACAGAATGTTTCCTTCTCAGCTGGAGACCACTCCCTCTTACCCTCCAAAAGTTGATTAAGAACAGGCACTAACTTTTTCTTATGAGAGTGATTTTCTTCCAACATTTTATTTTTTACAATTTCAAACACTCAGAAATGTTAAATTAGAAATGCACATATACCCACCATCTAGATGCTATAATTAACATTTTGTTTTATTACATATCTGTCCATCTATCCATCCTTCTAGCCATTCATCAGTTCATCTTATATATTTTCGATGATTTGCATGTAAGTTGCAAACATCAGATGCACTTCACCCTTTGATACCTGTATCATAAACTAGATTAGACTTCAATATTTGTAAATGTTTTTAAAATATGTTTTTATTGATTTTTAGAGAGAGAGGAAGGGAGAGGGATACAGACATCCATTGGCTGCCCCCTGCATGCCCTCCCCTGGGAATCAAGCCCGCAACCCAGGCATGTGTCCTGACCAGGAATCGAACCGGTGACCTCTTGGTTCATAGGTTGACGCTCAACCAACTGAGCACCACCAGCTAGGCTGTTTATTACTTTTTAAAGTAAAATTTACATACAGTAAAGTGCACAAACCTTTTGCGAACCATGTGGTGCATTTTGACAAATGACACAACCCCTATGAAAATAGAGCACATTATCATCACCAAAGAAAGTTCCTTCCTGGTGCTTCGGTTGGAATGGTCTTAACAAGCCCAGAGAGGGTCCTGTTTACTTGCGCCGGATGCCCCACAGGTATTTATGTTCCCAAGCTGGTGTTTGCCTAGACCTCAGCAGCCTCTTCCTGGCCTTGTTTTGCAGGTGCTCTCCCTTTCTCTGCTGGCTCTCTTCTAGTTTACATGAATCTGGAGAAAATCTGGAATGGACCCCGAGATCGCTTCTCTCTCCTCCAGAACTTTGCCAACATCTGCCTGGCTGCTGCGGTGACCCAGACCCTCTCCTTTCCCTTTGATACAGTGAAGAGGAAAATGCAGGTGAGGAGTGATGTTGGAGCGGGGCAGTGAGGAGATTCCTTGAAGTGTTGGTGGGTTGGTAACAACAGCAGAGAACACTGACCCTGAGCAATGTCAGGATTCCAAGGGGATCATGACTATTCACACAAATACTATGCAAACCCCCGCTCCGGGCATTTCTGCTGCTAACCTCAGGGCTATTGGCTCCAGCCCAAGCTGCTATTTCTTTCAATACTCTGCTTTTTTAGGACTTTTTAGCCCTTCTAGATGAGGCCCACTTTTCTTTCCTCTCTTTCCCATGGTTGCCACCAAAGCATAGCTGACATCAAAGCAGCCTCCTAGCTCCCTCTCCCTGGGCCTCCACAGTGAGAGGAGGGCACTCTTACTTTCGTAGCCACCCCTTACCTCTGTGAAACAAACTGGAAAGAACCAAAATAAGCCAGGAGCTATTTGATAGCCAAGCTCCAATAGTCCCTTACTCCCTTGCTAAGGAAGTAAGTACATTTGAAATGGGTCAGTGTCTTAGTGGGAGTCGCCCTGCATTTTCCTAATTGTTGCCTGGGAAACTCACATTTTCTCTATTAACTACAGAAGCAAAAGCATGGTGGTATCCAAGGTCCCAAAGTGAGTAACTGGCTTAGCCTAGAATCAGTCAATTTTGATTAAAAAAATCAGCGGGCCAAGTAAGGTTGGGGGTTACAAGCAAGTCTGAGGGCGGGCTCAGAATCAACAACTCTGAGGTTTTGTATCTGCCTTTAACTCAACTCCAGTCCACAGGCTTGCCTGTCTTCCTGACCTCTTCTGGGCAAATCTTTTTTTTTAAGGCCTCAGTTCCCACAGAGAATAGGGTTCCAGGAGGTAGGAAGGCTCCTCTTCCATCCCTGATCTCTTTTTGTTTCTTTTTTTGTGGTTGTTAATCCTCACCCGAGGATATTTTTCCATTGATTTTTAGAGAGAGTGGAAGGGAGAGGGAAAGACAGAGAGAAACATCGATGTGAGAGAAACACATTGATTGGTTACCTCCTTCACAAGCCCTGACGAGGGCCTGGGCCCGGGAGGAGCCTGCAACAGAGGTATGTGCCCTTGACTGGAATCGAACCCGGGACCCTTTGGTCTGCAGGCTGATGCTCTATCCACTAAGCAAACTGGCTAGGGCACAAATCTTGATTTATATAATTGATATATGTTCCTGAGGAGCTGCTTGCATATTAAATTGGGTTCAGTTGAATCCAGTTTTAAATATCAGTCCCAGCTGAGTTTGTTTTTCCACCATCTGAACTTGTCCCTCCGAAGTCTCAGTGGCCCCCAGCTTCCCTCCATAGCTTTCTTGGCTGAACTGGTCTCCACTTACCTCAGCACTAAAAAGCCTGAAGGTACTTATCTCAACCTATAAAGAAAAGATGCCTTCAGAATAATACACATCATGATGACACCCAATTCTGCTGCTCCAGTCCGTCAAGCCTTTCATCTCTCTGGGTTGTGATCCTTTCCTGTCCTTTGTCAAAACAAAGAAATAATTGTCACATTATTGTAATGGTAGTGTAGGTGCAGGTTAGAGCCTGCTCACTGCGTGCTTATTTGTAAACCGTTATTCCTAATTTTAAAAGGAATGCGTATACACTTAAAAGGGGTTAAAATGGTCAATTTTATGTTATCTGCTTTGCACAGATTATAGAAAAATATAAAAAAAATTACTTATAAGCCCAATACCTATGCAGTGTAATGATTAATAGTTTTTCTTTTATGTGTATTTGTATGTGTGCGCACGTGTATATATGTGTGTGCATAAATATATATAATACATGTATATGGAATGGTTTTTTTACAAAATTATGTTCCTACTGTATATAAAAATTCGTATCCTGCTTTGTCCACTTATTATATAATGGGTATTGCCCCAGGTCATCAAATATTGAGAATATCTTTTTAAATTATCTCAGAATATTCCACCACATGGATGTGTTATAAATGTGTTTTAATATATTTTTATTGATTTCAGAAAAGAAGGGAGAAGGAGAGAGATTGAAACAACAATGATGAGAGAAAATCATTGATCAGCTGCCTCCTGCACACCCCTCACTAGAGACCAAGCCCAAAACCCAGGCTTGTGCCCTGACCAGAAATCGAACCATAACCTCCTGGTTCAACCACTGAGCCACACCAGCCAGGTCATAAATATTTTTTAAAACAAAAAAGATTTATTCTCAAAGTTCTGGAGGCTGGAAGTTTAATATCAAGGTGTTGGCAGGGCCATGCCCCTTTTGAGTGCTCTAGGGGAGAATCCTTCCTGTCTTCCAGCTTCTGGTGGTCCTGACAATTCCTTGGTTTGTAGCAACATAACTTCAATCTCTGCCTCCATCATACCATAAATAACAATTTCTCACCCTGGCCAGTGTGTTTAAGTGGTTAAGAGTGTTGGCCCCTGCACCAAAGGGTCTTGGGTTCGATTCCTGGTTAAGGACACCTACCTGGGTTGCAGATTCAATCCCTGGCCCCAGTTGGGGGCCCGTGCTGGAGAAAACCAATTGATGTGCCTCTCTCATCTCTCTCTCTCTCTCTCTTTCTCTCTCTCTCTCTCTCTCTCTCTCTCTCTCCTCTCTCCCTTCCACTCTCTCTAAAGATCAGTGGAAAAAATATCATCGGGTGAAGATTAACAAAAAAACACAATTTCTCGGTTTTTTAATATTTAGGCTGTTTCTGATTCTCCAGTATGATAGCATTGTAGTGAAAACCGTTGTATTTTTTCACATTTGTGATGGCACCCTTCAGCTATATTCCTAGAAATCGACTTACAGTTACAAGATAAAAATAATTCTAAGGTTCTTAATGGAGTTTGTTCCCTAGAAAGGTTATAAGTTTACACTTGCACCAGCAGTAAGAGTGGTTCATCTCCACTCTCATTATTAACAGGAATTTTGTCACTTTCTAATTCCTTGTGAACCTAATAGCTGACAAATGCTATCATTGTTTCAATTTGAATTTCATCTATTATAAGCAAATTGCACATTTTTCATATATCAATTGACCCTTTGTATTTCTTTTGTAAATTTTCTGTTTATGTCCTTCACCTATTTTTCTAGGATAGCCAGCTTTTTCTGCTGATTTGTAAGAAGTCTTTATATGTTAAAGATATCAACCCTTTGCCATACATTACACATATTTTTCCCAGTTCAACATTTGGCTTCTGATGCTGTTTATGCACTGTTGTTGTTGTACATATTTTTAGATTTTTATGCAATTATATCTATTACTGGTATTTGTTTCTAACTTTACTTTTCTGTGCAAAAGGCCTACCCCATCCCATAATCATATGACTATTCATTTATATATAGTTCTTTAAATCATTTTGTTATAATTTTTGCACTTAATACTAATATATTTTGGATTTACCTGGGATATGATATGTGCAGTAATCATTTGACTTTTACAAAGATAGTTTACCAATTGTTTAAGGATATGTCAACCTAAAGATAAAAAGGCCTTTCACAGTGAGAGACAAGAACAACTTATTTGAGGTCAAAGAATAACTATTTGGGAAGCACTGATTCAGGTAGAAGCCTGAATAGTGTTCTGATTGAGAGGCAAAGGCAGTGGATATTTGTGAGAAAGGAAAGAGGAACAATTACATCAATAGAAGGAAGGCATTTGTATTGGTGCAGATAACATAATTCTAAACAACGTTTTTAGCCCTGGCTGGTGTTGCTCAGTTGGTTGAGCATCGTCCTGTGCACCAAAAGGTCGAAGGTTCAATTCCTAGTCAGGGCACATACCCAGGTTGCAGGTTCAATTCCTGGTTGGGGCTAGTGCAGGAGGCCACCAATCAATGTTTTTCTCTTCTTTCTCCCTGTCCCTTTCGCTCTATAAAATCGGGGGGGGAAAAAACCTAAAAAACAACAAAAACACATATTTTTTTTTAATTTAAAAAAACAAACACAATGTTTTAGCTTGGCCTGTGTGGCTCAGTGGTTGAGCATCGACCTATAAACCAGGAGGTCATGGTTTGATTCCCAGTCAGAGCACATGCCCGGGTTGTGGGCTCAATTCCCGATCCCTGGTGGGGGGTGTACAGGAGGCAGCCAATCAATGATTCTCTCTCATCATTGATGTTTCTATCTCTCTCCCCCTCTCCCTTCCTCTCTGAAATCAATAAAAATATATTTTTTTAAATGTTTTTAATTTTCAGTCCAGTAGTCATCAGTCCTGTAATCATGATATCTGCTTTCTTGTTATCTTTGCAAACAGTTCTTTGGGGCACAAGTTTGCGTAGGCCCAGCCCAGAGGTTATTTTGCCCTGTTTAAACATTTCAAGGCTTGAAGTGTAAGATGTGCAAAGCAGTTTTTCTGACGTGGCAGCTCCAGCTCCACTTTAAAGTGGCTCCGTTTATGTTATTTTTCTTAATATACCATTTTTGGAATAATCATTTCTCCCTCTATTCTGTGGTGCAGCTTTTACCATATCCTAGATGTTTACATATTCTAGGATCTATCCTGGGCTGTGTATCCTGTTTTGTTGATCTGTCAGTCTGTTCTTGTGCCCTATTGCAATTCCTCTAGCTCTATAATGCCTTTTACTATGTGGCATGGCATCTCCCTCCTCATTGCTCTTCATTTCAAAATTTCCTTGATTATTCTCAGTCATTTGTTTCCCCTGATGAACTTCAGAATTACCTTGTGATTATGAATGGAATATGTTAAACCTATAAGCTTGAATAATTCATGTCAGAGATTCTATCTTTTACTTAGGAATGTCATATATCTCTTTTAGTTTCAGTCTTTTTTCTTTAGATTGAACCATATGAAATTGCCAATATTCTACCTTTTTTGACATACTCAAACAGTAATTTCATATGGTTCAACCCTCAGAAAAGTTGATTTCTTCATATGGTAATTATGCTTCTTCTAAAAAACATAGCTTCTTTTAAAACACACACACACCAGGGAGAGGTTTACTGGGAAAGAGTTATGATCATAAAAATCTAGAAGCTTTTTATTTTCTTTTTAAATCCTAACCCTAGGAATTT